ATATAATTATAATCGGCAACACATAATCTCTACCAATTTATCCAAGTTTTACACTATTTTACGATAAAATTAATGTAGTAAATAATTAGAATAATTGTTTATATAATAATGTATATATATTAGATCTCAAATATTTCATAATATTATTAACATTTGTTCATGTTTCATAATAGATATTTTTATAAAAACTGACATAATTATAACAGTACAAATAATGGATAACATTGAAAGAATAAATATGTATACAATTATTAACATTGCTAGGGATAATTTTTTCATTTATATCTATATATAATGAAATTTTTTATGTAAATTTTCAAGGTCATATATTTTATTATAGACACATTAAGTCTTCATCAAAATGTTGTTCTATATGTCATATTATGTAAACAACTAGAGCATTTTATATATTATTTAAATATATTTTTTAATGAATAAAGATTATCCGTTAGGATAGAAACTAGGATATCACTTTTTCAAATTATGGTATTTTAAAAGTAATATGAAAATGTATATAAGGAGGAACGAAGCTATTATGGATAATACTATCATAAAAAACACTAAACCTGTATTACCATTAGAAGATGCTAAGGACAAATAAAAACAAGCTAATACACTTACAATTAGAGGTAATCCAAACATTATATATAATTTTAGTTTTTTTCCCTTCTTGTATGATTTTTTAACAAAATTTTTGCCTTTCTTAATTTTATATGTTTCATTAATTTCATCCATTAATTTTTTTCCATGAACATAAGGCTTGCTTTTATATATGTCTTCTTTTTTTTTCCTTTGTTTATTCTTTCGGTTATTTCTTATCATTTCACGAATTCTGTAATCATTTACGTAATCACACATTAATTCGTCATAAGTGTAATAATTCGATAATAATCGACTTGGTCTATAATTAAATGATTTTCCTAATTTATATGAGATGTCATAAGAAATATTGAGAGATTTCTGTAATAAAAAAAAAAAAAAAATAAAATAATTATGAAATATATACAATTCTACAATAAGAAATGATATTTATATAAAAAAAATTAATTATAGAAGGGATAACATTTTAAATATCGTAGTTTTACATCATCCTTGTGACAATTTTTTAGCGAAATAAAAAATAAAACTGTAAAAATTTTGGTAAAAAGGAGAAAATTAAAGCTTATTCTTTCCATGGTGTATATCTACAAATCTATCATGTATTCAATAATAATACATAGAGATATATATAAAATATTAATAGTCAATGTGATAATTCCTTATTATAATGTGTTTATTGAAATAATATATATATATTATTTATATCTTATTAAACTATATGCCAATACAATTTCATAATGGTAAAAAATAGAACGTGGTATTTAAACAAAAATTAGAAAATATTTTATTCTAAGATTATTTATAAATATGGGAGGATATTCGAATAAAAATTTAATTATATTCTGGTATAACAATTGCGGAATAAATAATTGTGTAATGGGACGCAGATTAAATAATTGTTGTATATTATATAATTTGATAAAAGAAATAATGGATAAATGAATATTACCTTTTAAATAATGTGTAATTTTTATAAAATATACAACAAAAATAATACCTTGCAGTGTTAAAAATATAGTCATTCAGTCATGTAACTCAAAATACAAACAATTTTTTCTGCTTACTACACCCTATAATGAAAGATAATATAACTCAGTATTATTTATTCCTACTTGTATAAAGTAATGCACACTCTATATTTTTATTGTATTTAAAGTACTTCACAAAGATAAGGAAGCAATAAAATCACCTTTTTGCAATTTAAAAATGTTGAAGATTAAGCAATTTTAAATTTACTCTTACAACATTGCACGTTTTACATAATATGTTTTACAATTTTTAATATTTCTATTTATAAAAACTTTTTATTTTACAATGTATACTTTATATAAATTGAATTTATTTATTATTTTACATTTTTTTTTTATAATATTTGCACAATTATAAATACAGTAATAAATAAAAAAAAAAAAAAAAAAAGAACTCAGAAAAAACACTGTAAATTAATATTCTATGTAAAATTATTGAAACCTGGATAATAATATTTATAATTTATAAAAATTAGGTGAAAATATATAGTTTACAAAATTTTGAATTTGCAAAAATTCTTGCAATAATAATATTATTTTTTTTTATTTCAATTAAAAAACGTTAAATTATGCTAATTATAACTGATGTAAAGAATAGATATTTAGAAATAATGTATAATTAACGAAAATTTAGATGACATATTTTTAGGAATTTATATTTAAATAAAGGAATTTTATTCAAAATGTTTACAAAAACTTATGTTAAAATTAAAACATTTCTCAGAATTCGCATGTGTATGCACTAAACTATTTATCTTACAATTTAAAAATATACCTATACAACAAAAAAATTTTTTAATAAAACAAATTAATACTAATTTTAATGATAAATAAATAATTATTTACTTTATAACGTCGCCTTTAATATTTTTTAAAAGTCTTACCTAAATTTAAATAATAATATTACTTCATTTTTGAATTCATAGTTGTGAATTCATTAAGAATAATTATTTTGTGATACTTTAGTTGGTTTTACACACACAAAAAATAATTTTTTGTAATATTATTATACATAATACGTATTTTTATATTTTTTCTAAGAAATAGGTGTTTCTCTATATCGTGTAAATTATATATTATCATATTTATTTATATACATTATGCTAAACTGATGAAATAAAAATACGAAAGAATGTAAACATTCATATATCTATGTTTATATTGAATTTTTATTATGTATATTTATGTGTTCTAATATATATTCTCTTTTTTTTAAATAATTTATGTACCACGTTTGGTTTAATATATTACATTTTTTTATTACATATATACAAATAAAAAATTCTTAATGAACTCTTTATCAGACGGACGTAAATATATCTGCAAAAAGAAACCTTTTCTATTTTTTTCATTTCATTTGAGCATTTGCGGCTAAAATTTCTAAAAAATATAATGTATTTTTATGCTTAAAGTTTAATTTTATAGATTATATACATATATATATTTTTTTTTCCTAACTTATAATTATGCAATGAACGCTATAAAAACTTTAAACTCCATAATTATTTTAGAGAACTATTTATTTTTTTGCCTCATGAGGTATATATTAAATTTAAAAAATGAAAATTCTTATATATTTGTAAAAAAAGACAGGATAAATCATACCTAATATAGAACAATTATCTATTATATGTAATAACATTGATAAGTAATTAAATAATCTAGAAAAAATTATATATAGACGAAAAAAATATTAGAAAAAAATATTGATAAAATTAGGTTATATGAAAAGATAAATATTGTCTATATATGAATGATATATAATTCAGTATAATTTCAATAAAACAATACGAAAATAAAATAAATTTCTAAATAAATAAGACTATATATTAAATGGGAATAATATTAATAACATCAGCAAATAAATTACATGACAAATATGTAACTATTTCTGAGAGTAATACATTTTTCATGTTTATATATTCTTTACAATTTAAAGAATGAAAATACAATCAAACATTATAATATAAAAAAAGTACTACTAAAAATAAAATATATATTACATTTGAATGATACTAAACTAAAATAACGTATAAATTACTCGTATTATAAAATTAATATATGATATATTTGTGCTTGCTATTTTATAAAACTATTAGATTATTTGATATACGATATGAAATATAAACACTTGTAATATAAAAATCTCATAATAATAATAAATAACATATAGAAACTGCACTAATATTACATTTATATTTGTTGAATATACATATTCTGAGTATTTATAAAATATATTTATATAAAGAAATTGATATATTTATGTTTTTAGAACTTGAATATATATATAGGAGTTTTTTTTTATTAAGACACATTATTATTTAAAAATATATTATATTCTACATGAAATTATTTACATATATTATTTAATATAAAAAAACAATGATCTATATTACAATGATGAAATGATTTATATGAATCATTCTTATTTTATTTTACACAAATAAATTAACAAAATTTACAGGAGAATCATAAATAATACCATACACCTAATGATAAATACATTTCGTAAAAACTAAATGAGAGAGATAAAGCATAAACGCTAATTCTTTTAACTTAAATATATATTTAATATGAAGTGTATGAGAATTATCATTTAATTGAATAGTGCACTTTTTTATTTTTATTAAATATAAAAAAATTCTACGATATATATATATTTTTTTAATACACACATTTGTAGATAAAAATTGATTTAGTCTTCATAAATAACTTTAAAACACATTTTAGATTATTTTTTTATTCAATATAAAAAATTTAACTTGTTATGATATAAATTATATACATACAATTTGTTAATTATTTAGGGGAAATTCGTAACATGAAGAAATTTTCTAAAAAATATTAATAACTCTAAATAAATGACAACAACGTTTTATAATATTCAATAAAATGAACTCTATAAAATGAATGTAAAAATAGAATAAAACTCTGATCAAAAGTAGTAGACATGTTTATATGAAACAAAGGAATAAAAATAAATATATATATATTTTTATGAAAATTATTATGTAATAATTTTTTTTCATTAATATTTTAACTCGTTTTTTATGTTATAAATATGATTTTAGTTCTATATATTTTTCAAGGACACCATTAACTTATAAGTTATAGATTTACAATATACAGTTATTTATACGCAATAATAGAGCATATATTTCATCTTTTAATATATATAAACTTAAATAGTACAATTAATGTATTCTTAAATATTGAAACATTTATACTTGTAATTTATTAAGAATAGTATATACAAGTATTTATAACGAATATCTTCGCTGCTCATATTGCCATAAAATACAAATTGCTTAGTGTCAAAATATATTTGTACATATATCAATTATTAATTATTATACAATAACCAATAAACATATGGAAGAAGCAGTAAGTGAATTTGTTTTTCTAGGACCATTTTCTGAATGATTTTAATTACTGAAATATATTTACATGAAAAATTGCATAAAATATATTCGTGAAAAAACAAAATATATACTATATTATTTATTCAATTTATAGAGTCCTCAACTAAAAGTGTTATCTTCGTATGTATTTTATCAAAAATTGATAAACCAGAAAAATGAAAATAATATTAGCGATTTGTGTAAAGATGTATTGAACATATACACTAATGATCAAGGATTGGATTATAAGTTTTGTGGACAACTTATAAAAAATATTGAAATGCTACGAAATGACAATGATGATTTTTTTCGTAAGAAGCATTGTTTGGATGTAAATTATTGGCTTTTCTCGGAAGTATATAAAAATCTTGAGGGTAATACAGAGATGAATGATTTTGACAAAATTTTTAATATGTTTGTAAGAATATGGCAAATCATTTTAGCTGATTGTTATAGTGTAAGGATGGACAAGGAGAGATGCTACCCATTTAAGAATTTATTTAAGGGAAATTTTTTAAAATATTTGATACAAGTGAAGAATTTTTTCGATTATATTCAAAATTATAATATTATAAGAAATAAGATTAATAAGAATACATATTATGCATGTCAAAAGTATTCGAATTATCTTAAAGACAGGTTATCTTTATTTTTCTCCTTTGAACCATTATGTAAAAAACAAGAAAGTTATATTTTTACAGATCACTTTTACTCATATTATCACTTACTTGATCCAAGAAATATATTCACATGGTATAAATTATTTAAAATATATATTCAATCATTTTGGAATGGGTGTTATAAGAATATATTAAATGTATACTATGAGTCTAAAAGATCAACTTCAGAATTCATGACCAAATAAAATGTATATGTACAGCTGTTTATTAAGAAGAATGAAAAATCAGCAAAGAGGGTTGATCAGGTGATTCATGGCAGAGAACAGGGCACACAAATCAATGTGTCAATGACAAATGCAACAGTACCATCGAGAGAAATCCCCAAGGAAATAAATAAAAACCATGGAAATTTATCAGATTTTGTAAATGAACAAGGTTTTTCAATAAGTAAAATTGCCTTTTATGTCTTTTTTTTGTGTTAGGTGCAATAATTGCTTACGAAATTTTAAATAGGGTAAAAATAATAAATATATTTGTAGATGTGAAATGCTCTAATATATATTAATATTTTTCTTTAGGTAAGAATACTTTACTATAAAATAAGAAATATTACGAAATTACTTCATTTCTTTTATATATATATATTTTTTTTTGTATACTCCATTTGGATACTCCTTCACAAGTAGAGGTAGAAAAAAACGTAACATTATGTATGATTATTATTCTGAAGTTAATGATTCAATATTTGACAGTAATGATAGTTTGGATTTTAGTTCTTGTTCTGGAGTAGATGAATCTTCTACAACATTAAGTTCTGAGTGATACAACCCATAATTATATAATTTGTATTATCATGGGTAGGTTAATAATAGAAATATATAATCAATAAGGTAATGTTCTTAATGATACAAATGTTCTAAGTATTGTAATAGTTCATTATATGTATTTTTGTGTGTTTATTATAAGAAAAGGACATACAAATAGTAATGGGCTAAAATAGTCAATTTATTGAAATATTTCGACATATTTACACGATCGATATGTAATAAGAAAAATAGTATAGTTTATAAGAATTAAAATCATGTATGATACATGTAATATAGAATATGGAGTACATGAGTCTGAGTTATATAATCATGCGTATTAATTTATTTTTTTTATTTATTATTTTACATTATGTTACATAGTTTATTAATATGCACATTATTATCATAATGAATGATATTCCTTTGGTTTGCTTTTTTATAAAATGAATTATTAATATATATTTTTTCTTTTTTTTTATGCTATTAAATAAATATGATAAATTATATATATCTACGATTCTTTTGTTTGTAACTA